GTTTTTTTTTTTTTTTTTGAGACAGGTTCTCACTATGTAGTTCAGTCTGACCTTAAACTTACTATGTAGCCTAGGCTGGCCTCAAACTCACAGCCATCTTCCTGCCTCAGCTTTTGGAGTGCTGAGATTACAGGCGTGTGCAACTAGGCCCAGCTTTTATGGTCATTTTGACTTTGGGGAAGATCCAGAAGCTGCAGTGTACCAGATCCAGTGAATGAGGTGAATGTTTTTATGAGCCTGCCTTTCTGTTGGATGGCACTGGGAGGTGGCATGCACCATATTTTTTATCACATCTCATAAAGACACTCGCAAAAAAGGACTTCCAGAACTGAGACAGAAAGTAGCAAGAATAATGGGATAAATGTGGTCAAAGCAAGGAGGAGTATTCTATGTCTTTTGCTAAATAAATGTTTTAAGTTTATACACTTGCCATGTATTTTGATCAGATCGCTTAAACCAGATTTCTATGCATTTTCTGTATGTACAAGGGTAAGACCAAATGACATCAAGATTTAACTGCACACCAACACCAATTTGCATACAAGCACTGAAAGCCAATTCTTGACTTATTTTTATATTCTATTAAGTTACTGGTTTTATTTGTGTACAATACAAATATTTCTTAACATATACATTCAACCAAGCTAATAAAACTGAAATATGGAGAACAATGATACTCTTTTCTTTTTATGCACTAACACTGCTTTTCAAGAGCAAAGTGATGCTTTTCTTTCCCTTTCATTAAAATGGAATAGGAAAAAAAATGGAATAGGAAATTTGCAAGTCAAAAATTATCACCGAGAAGATGACCGCCGATGGGTTTAAGTTTCAGTTAAAAAGCAGGACTAGGTTTGCAAGATCTAGTGCACAACACAGTGACCATAGCCAATAATAATTTATTGTGTATTTCAAAATTTCTAAAGCAGCAGATTTTAAGTATTTCTAACTACAAAAAGTGATAAGTATGTAAGGTGATGGAAATGTTAATTAGCTTGATATAATCATTCCACACTGTATATATAAATATGTCAAAACACAGCACATCCCATAAATAGATATAATTATTGCCACTATAAGAAAAACAAAAATCATCACCCATCTCTGGACAGAGTGAACAATGTTAACCATCCACATATGGCTATGCAGTATTAGGAAATATTTTTTATTCAGACTGCTCTTCTGGAACTAGTAAAATCAATACACTATAGGAAAATTATTCAGAAAAAAATAAGTTTTAAAGTCCTTGGGCTTTGAGTTGTGCGGATTTTTTTCCTTCACTTTGCTAAGCCACATTAGTTTTTCATTCCTTCCATCTGTCAGATCCTGAAGATATCTGTGCAAACTAATACAGCAGCGCTAAAACTAACCACCTAATGCACTTTAGACTTTACCATTAGTTGAATTTTATTTTTTATTTCTATTTATTTATTTATTTTGGTACCGAGGATCAAACTCGGGACCTCGCGCTTGTGAGGGAGGGCCGTGGCATCACTGAGCTAAATCCCTGGCCATAGGTGAATTTTATGTATACAAAAGATCAAGTGTGGCAATTGCAAGGACCGAATGCACTGAATATGTTGTATAACAGTATGCTATGTATCTTACTGGCTTTTGAAAAATTCCTATATATGTTCCTCTTTAAAGAAACAAGTTTTGCAAGAGGTGAATGAAAACAACAATGAGGGTGTCTTTGGAAGGTAGGAGAGATGCAGAGAATAATAACCTGTTTCACTAACTTTATAAGAGGGCAGTACTAAAGTACACTAAAATAAAAATGAAGTATCTTCTTAAAAACTATTTTCTATACCCTACTGTTAGCATGATTTTGGAAAATACTGAATCAAATCTGTTGGACAAAATTGAAGTTGTCATCCCAACTTAAGTGACTAGGGCCGACTTTTTTCACCTTTCCCTATAACAGCACTGACACTTCATGGAGCCTTACTGTGTGACCCCTACAAAGGTGATCAGGAGGGCAGAGAGGAGATGTCATCAATAGGTGGCCTTAGAGGAAAGAGAGACAGAACTCATTTTCAGGTGTATTTTGATTCACTCGTATTATGTTGATTTACAAAGGACTTGACACATTTTTAAAAATTAGTTGCCAGGGCCTGGGATTTAGCTCAGTTTTTCTGGTGCTTGCCTTGCAAGCACAAGGACCTGAGTTTGATATCCGGTACCAAGAAAAAAATATTTAAAATTAGTTGCCAATGTTCAAAGTTGGAAAATTTCACACAAAAATCTACATTTCTAAATGGAATATTACTCAGCCATAAAGAATGAGAAAATAGATTCATTCATAGAAAAATGGATACATATTGAAGATATACTCCTAAGTGAAATAAATAAGTCACACATGTGTAAATACCGAATAGTTTCTCTGGTGTGAATAATCTGCAATAATACAGAAGATCCTAATAAGATTACTGACATTTCGAAAAGGGAAGAAAGGAGCTAAAGGTGTAGGGAAGGTGGGATGAGTAGGGGAAGGGTAATAAGGGAAAAGAAAAAAATGTGAGATAATGAAAAGATGGAAATAAAGTATTTGTAGATGGGGAGGGGAGGAGAGGGTGAAGGGAGGGCAGAGGTAAGGGGAAAAAATGAGAATCAAGACTGTAGAGGTACAAGATCCCAACAATGAATGTAACTGTACTGTATCCCTAAAATGTACCAATAAACTCAATTAAAGCTGAAAAAAAATCTACATTTCTTACTGGGTGCAGTGGTGCACACTACTTGGGAATACCAGCTACTTGGGAAGCTAAAGCAGAAGGTTTGCAAGTTCAAGGCCAGCCTAGGCGATTAACAAGATCCATTCTCAAAAACTGGAGAGGGTTGGATATGTAGCTCGGTAGTAGCACCACTCCTGGGTTCAATTCCTCAGTAACTCTCTCTCTCTCTCTCTCTCTCCTTGACTTGTGAGAATGAAACACTCTGGCCATGACAGGCACACAATGCCAATGGGCAAGAGGCTGTGTGGGAGAAATGGCTGGTGCCTTTAAGTAGGCTCCTGGGTTCTGCACCAAGCCCATACCTGTGTACACTGTACATAGAGGAAAAGCGAGACAGGGAGCTGTTCGACTGCAAAATGTGGTTAAGAGCTTGTGCAGTGAAGGAAAAGGGCTTCAATTTGAATGAATTAGCTATGTGCCATTAGTCGTGTGTGCTGCCAGCTTCTAACTTGATACTCACTGTTTCCCATCCCCTGATATTCACATCCTTGTCTAATTCCCTCCCCTGAATGTGAGCTGAAGCTTATGATTTGCTTTGAAGGGCAAAACTGATGGGATGTCTCTTTGGGATTAGGTTACAAAAAGACTCCGGTATCCATTCTGCTTTCCCTCTCTGACTTTTCTCCCTTGCTTGCCTGCAAAGTTGATGAAGCCAGCTGTCATGCTCTGAGCTGCCCAAGGAGAAGTCCACATGGAAAGAAAACGGGGACTATATCTTAGTCACTTTTCTCATCACTGGGACAAAGTACCCGATACCTGCAATTTAAGGAAGGAGAGGTTGATTTGGACTCACATTTCAGTCCACAGTGGGCTAGCTCCAAGGCAGGAGAGCATAGCAGAGGGACATGGAGGAGAACAGCTGCTCAGGGCATGGTGGCAAGGAAGCAGAGAGTGAAGGGAGGAGCCAGGGAGAGAGGTACATCCTTCCAGGCCATGTCCCGGGTGAGCCATCTTCTCCAGCCAAGCTTCACCTTCAAACATCATATGAGTATCACACCCCCATGATCCAACTACCTCCCTAAAGCCCCACCTTTGAGGGCATGAGGCTTTGCAGGGACATCTAGATAAAATCCATCACAGGAGGCTTTTGCCCATCAGCCACCTAGGAATGGAGGCCCTGGGAGAAACAAAATTTAGCCACTTGTGTGAGTTTGCAAGAGGATCTTTTGCCAAACAAGTCATGAGATGAGAACCCAACCAAGACTGACGCCTTGATCACAGCCCTCTAAGAAACTCACAGCCAGAGCGCCCAGCAAAGCTGGGCCCAAATCCAATCTGTGAGTTTGTCTGCAAAACCCACCCTGAATCAGCTCTTGTCTGCCTCAGAGCTGGCTCTTCCGCCACCTCCTTTTTACACTTTACACACAGTCAAATCTCACACAAGCATCACACCACCTCACACCTCTGCCTCAGCCCAGATCACCCAGGTCTTTGTCACCTCAGCTCAGGTGCACACCTCCCCCATGGTTCATAGCACTCTGCATCCACACCCTGTCTTCAAGGTCCGCCTCCTCTCTACACTATAAGCCCCTTAAAGGCAGGGACTACCCCTTCTTCCTCTTTCTATTCTGAGCACCTGGCACAGTGCCGGGCACTTCGTAGATCCACAGTGAAACCAGGAATTAAACTGTCAAGTGGCTGTTGGGTTAGTTACTTGGGATGTCAGAGGTAACCTCAGCAAAAACAAAGGGAAAGGGTGGGTTTGTGCGTAGTAGAGGAGTGGAGGGGGAGGGACGTGTACTCATCCTGGAAAGGGGCAGAGAAGTGAGATAGAAGACAGTAAATCAGAGAGATCAATTAAATGATCCCTCAAACCGGGCGTGGTGGCCCACTCCTCATCCCAGCACTCGGGAGGCTGAGGCAGGCGGGTCACTGTGAGTTCGAGACCAGCCTGGGCTACATAGTGAGCTCCAGGGAAATCTGAACTACATAGTGAGACCCTGTCTCAAAAAACACCAAAAAAAAAAATCTCTCAAATAAATACATATGCTTGTGCTTGAGGTCATTGATATTTTGTTATTTCTGTGCTCTAAAATGAGAAAGGATTAAAGTTATAAAAAATTAAAAAAATTAAATAACAAGTATAAAATGTCTTATATAGGGTCTGGCTTACAGGGAAGAAGCTCTGTAATATTCACTCTATTCAATGTGCAAGCAAACGAGCTAGCAGAGAAAAATGATGAAAAGAACAGTAATACACAGAATCATACAAATAGCAGTAAATGCAGGAAGTGGGCATGAGGACACTGGGGTGATGGAAACATTCTAAAAGTAGATTGCAGCGATGATTGCAAAATGCTGTTAATTTACTAATCATTAATATTTAAAGGATATGTGTCTGTAGTACCAAAATTAGAGGAGCACTTCAAAAACATTTATGAGCTAATTCTTACCAAACTCACTGGTGACGCCCTACAAAACTGCAAAGTGAGGTAGGAGGAGGCAAGAAGCACCCTTAGGAGGTGAACAATGGGCCTGAGATCTCCTCTTTTAAGCCTTTCGGCTTTGCCAGTAAAAGGAATTTCAGGGGCCATGGTAATTCCAGGGAGCATTCAGGTTAGGAATAATTTAGTGTCCTCCACAGCGTCGCTTAACTTTCACTTTCCACTCATTAAAATCATGAACTGGGCCGGGGATGTAGCTCAGTGGCACTGCACCTTTCTCTCAAGCGCAAGGTCCTGAGTTCCATCCCCAGTACCGGAAAAAAAACAAAAAACAAAAAAAACTTGAACTGTGCCCTATTCCAGGGAACCAAATAACAAAACAATACTCAGAAAAGGACAGTAGCATGAGAAGTTCACATACCTTTCCTTATAAATCTGTTAATTTCTGTAAAGGAGGTTGTCCCCTTTCGTTCCAGAGTTTAGAAATTTGAGTCTTCCATGGTTTTTTTTTGTTTTGTTTTTTTTTTGTCCACTTAACTAAATGCTTGCCAACTTTGTTGATTTCCAAAGAATCAATTTTTGGTTTCATTGACTTCTGCTCTGTTCTTTATTATTTCCTTCTTTCTTGCTTTGGGTTAATTTGCTCTTCTTTTTCTAGCTTCTTAAGGTGGAAAGCTAGGTAATTGATTTGAGAAAGTTCTTGGTTATAGGCATTTTTATCTCTGAATTTCTCTCTAACAGCTGTTTTAGTGGTGTAATGTTTTTGTCACATATCTTCCCTGGGTCTTTTTCTTTCACTTTAGTCCAGATTTTTATAAATCACACCATTTCTTAGGATTTTTTTTTGGGGGGTGATATTTTTAAATTCATAGATGCTGATATTTATTAGATCCTTACTTTTCTAGAAATGTTCCTTACTTCTCTTGGATTCTAGGATGTCTTTGCTTTCTTTTATTTTTCCTTTATTTCTTATGTTCGTGTCATTTTTCCCCTCCTCTTTGAAAGGTATTGATTGGCAACAGTATGGAAAAAATAGCAGTGAAGAATAAGCAGGAAATAAGAAGCAGTCGCTGAATGGAAAAAAAAGAGAAATTCAGAGAGAAAATTAGGTACTTACAAAAGATTGATGGCATCCTAGAAGAAAAAAATATTAAAGCAAATTAAAACGGGGCTACCAGTTTTAGTCCTTCTTGACCAAGCAAATGAAAAATTAATCAACCTCTGTACAATATTTGTTGTATATTTTGGAATAAAACTCTGTGAAACTGACTAACCTAGAAAAGGTAGGGTCAAGGGATGATTTAGTCAGGTTTGTAGGTGTCTAAAGAACTATTATTGATACAGGAAATAATACTGGAGATAAAATATTAAATATTATATCTCCCAACCTGTTAGCTATATGATAAGCCAAGCTGGAAGGATGGATCCTCGGAACAATGGAGGTTAAGAGTAGGAAGATATTTATTGACAGGATAGCTCCTGAGGGGCAGGAAGGGTCCTGAGTGGGTACCTGGGGACCCCACTTTGCAGAGGAGTTTTATAGGGTGAAATCCACTTGGGTACAACGTGGGGCACAGCCATGAGCACACAATAAGGTTACAAGTATAGTCACTTAGGTAATGGTGGTCCAATTGGGAAACAAGTCATGTAACAAGCATAGATGGAAAGAATAAGATTCTCCTAGATAGTGATGGGTCCAGAGGTGGCTGATGTCTATCTAGACTTCATTAGGCCCAGTATTTGTTCTTTGAGTAAGTATGGGTCTGGTCACCTTGTCTTTATCTTTTTTTTCCCCAGTACTGGGGATGGAACTCGGGACCTTGCACTTGCAAGGCAGGAGTGGTGCCACTGAACTAAACCCCCAGCCTATCTCATCTTTATCTTGAGGCCTGGTTTCCAACTGTTATGTCTCTGGCCAAAGCAGTGGTGTGTTGTCCTAACTCTCTCAAGGACCTAGGCCTATCTGACTGCCTATAATATTTCTATTTAACTCAGGTATCTATAATATTATGATGAAAACATGGGTCATTTGTTTTCGATCTAAGATTACTTACGCAAATAGGTAGATAAGAATTCTTAAAGCTACTGTTCAAAAGAAAAAGAGCCTAGAACCTTCTCAAAATAGCTATTTGATGACACATGCTCTCCAACCAAGCTCTACCTCCCAATGACATATTAAGCTCTAAACTCAACAGTGGGCCAATTCACTGATAGTATCATACCCCCGTGATCCAATTACCTCCCCAAAGCCCCACCTATGAGCTCATAAGGCTTTGAGGGGGCAACTAGGTATAAACCATAACTGGTCATCTGGAGTACAGGTTTAGCTTGCTGTTTTGAAGATTGCTGGAATTCTCGTACACAGGTAATACTAGGGGCATTCAGTTGAGAGGAGGGTACACTCTAATTAAGAAAAATGCCCATAAAAAAAGAAAGATGCCCATAAATTGGAAGGAAAAGGAGCAATTCCTTCTTATGATGTTCAGGGTCTGGGGGCTGTGACATACCATGAAGGAGAAAGCCAAAAATGTAGGATGAGAAGACACCTAAGGACAGACTCAAGTACGTCCTCAATCACAACAAAGAAGTATGTCAGAAGGAAGACAACCAAAGAGAGAGAGATTTATTGAGTCATCTGTTTACAGCTGGACCAGAGAGTCATGTCTCAGTATCAGGGTGTCACTAGGAAAATGCCAAAATTTAAAAATGATATAGTTGAGAATCCTAGAGGAAGATAAACACAGGAGTGAATATTTCTCTATGCTTGGTACCGGGGATAGAACTTGGGTCCTTGTGCTTGCGAGGCAGGCAGTAGAACCACTGAGCTAAATCCCCGGCCCTCTCTAGGCTTTTAAGTCATATTTTTACTTCATTCATTTTGACTTTCAAGGACTCATGGACTCACTTCCTCATTATTTATGGGAGAAAACAAATTTCCTTGTGATTAGGAGTCCTCACCCTCAGCTCTGTGAATATTCAAGGCTGGATAATTCTTCATTAATGTTGTTTTGTGCACTTCAGGATCTTTAGCAGCATCTCTGGTCTTGAACCACAGGGTGGGGGGTGTACCCCTCCTCCCCAGTAGTTGTGACATCCACAGTGCCTTCAGATGTTGCCAAGTGACCTCAGTTCAAGGGGGAGGGGGGCATAGGGAGGAGTGTGGCTAACTCACCAATTGAAAACCATTATCATTATCATTACCATTATCATCATGGCAGACTAATTGTAACTACTTTTATGCCATCCAGTTAAAAAGGGGAGGTGTAGCTTAGTGGTAGAGTCCTTTCCTAGCATGTACAAGACCCTAGATTTGATCACTGGCAGAGGAGGGGG